GTAGTTGGTTCTTGATGCCAGCAATTTCAAGCTCTTTAGTAGTAACGTAGTTGATTAAGGATATGCAGAGAACAAGTAGCAGAACCTGCTCTGAAAATGAAAAGAGCATATGTAGTCTCTTCGGATATAGGGAGTGAACCAACCAACTCTCAATGTACTATTAGTGTGAATAAAAACTTTTGTTGTATTTTCCACACTGATTGTTTCCATAAAGCAACCAAGAAACTTCCCTAGCTTGTTATTAGTATAAACACTGACAACTAGAAAGGGATTGCTGGCGCAAATCAGGGATCTTGTTGTTCCCAAATTCATGGGTTTGTTGTTGAAAATTTTTGATAAATAAGATTTACTTTGATCGTCTTCTAACACAAGTATATAAAAACAGAGAATTGTCAAAATCGGTGATATCATTAATTTCCTAAACATCTATATTTAGTTGTTATTGACTAAACATCATCATTCAATAGTTTTTTATGGCAGGTAAGTGACAACCATTCGGCGCAGCAGTTTTTACTAGAATAAAAGTTGCATTCCAAAATCCAAATGCAGTCTTATCCCCCAACCAAAAAAGCAAAGAAAAAAAATGAAAATTATAAGTGTTTTGTCTAGTGTGCAAAACAAGAATTATTAGATAAGAGGAGTCACTAATTAATATTAGTTTACTTTTTTACCAAACATAAATTTTATGTCAAATTTATATTAAATTCAAAAAATTAACAACTTAATAAAATTCTAATAAAATTTCATTACAACATTTGTTAAGTTTCTATACAATATATTCCCAACAAATTTCTCAATAAAACATTTTTAATAAAATTAATCTCCAACTAAACAAGTAGTAGGATATGTTACTTAGACTTCCTTTGCAATTGATGTATTCTGCTATGCACCAATTATAGTTGTAAGTTATTTTTTCTTTGTCTAAACCAAATATATATAAAATACTAATTAAAATTAATTATATAAAAATTAATTAATAATTATAAATTTATATTTTTAGATGAATTTTTAATTTAAGGATGTAATTATTGTACCTTTTAGCCATTAAATTACAAAAAATAAAAATAAAAATTGATTTTAATTTTATTAACTAACTAATTAAAACAATACCTGTAATATTGATGTTAAAATTAATATTAATTCGTTTTATTTTTTTATATGATTTAATGACTAAAAAAGTAATAATTAAACATGTAGGTTAAAAAACCTCTTTAAATAAGAAATTGTTATAGATTTTAAACAAACCGTTTTGCAACTCCAGTCGGTTTCAAATCCATTGCTTTCAAAAACTTAAATCTGTCAGTTACAAGCTTATATTTTTGAATCAGCCAACATAACTGTTTCAAAGGAGGATGCATGCGTTTATATTTTACTAAAGGAATCAAATGGTAACAGCCATTTATTTAAAGAATTATTTCCGTTTCATTGGTTTCTTGAATCCATTCAAGAAAGAACCCATGCGCTTTTTGTCTTATTGAAAAGGATTGTGCGTTTCAGCTTTTCAAATATTTTAAAGCAATATGTTAGTACATCTATTTCAAATATTATTTTGATAACCGAAAAAAAAAAACATTCATTCCAATTTAATATTTTGTCTCCTTGGTTACATTGTGTGAAAGCCGATAAAAAGGCAACCTCCGTCTGTTCCAAGGCTGATTTTTTCTTTTCAGAATCTGCACTCCTACTCTAAAAAAAAAAAAAATCACAGCATTCAAACTCTTTTGGGCAAGGAAAAGGTGGTGGGGTAGAGCTTTCTTTACAAGAGTGCAGTACTTGTAAAGATACAATAAGGAGGTTGGGCTGTTGTATCATGGGGGCGGCGTGACCATAAAAATCTGCTGCACCAGTGGCACGAAACGTCTTAAAGAGAGTGATTGACCCACGCCTCAACTCAATCTCCTCATACTTTCGGTGACATCTTTTAATTTTTATTTTCATCTTTAATTAATTTATTTTTTGCTAATTTTCTGTCTATTTTTCTTCTATTTATTTTACGAGGAACAACAATTTTAGGACGTTTCGAAGAAAAATTCTTTAAAAAAAATGAGTTTACCTCGTGAAAAACCTGTTAAGCTCGCTAATGATCTTAACATGCCTTTTCGTTTTAATGGTGAGCATTTCAAAAGATGGAAAGGAAAAGTTTTGTATTATCTCAATTTGTTAAAATTGGCATATGTCCTCAATGAGGAAAATCCTATTAATTTGTCAACCGAAGGTATGAGTGCTGAGGAAAAGAAATCTCACAAGAAGAAAGTCCGAAAGTGGGAGAAAGATGAATATAGCTGCCGCAACGCTTTACTTAATTGCCTTTCTGATGAGCTTTATGATTACTATGAAAGAACTTACTCCACTGCCAAGGAAACTTAGGATGCTTTGTAGAAAAAATATGACACTGAAGAGGCTGGTGCGTAGATGTATGCTGGTAGCCGATGGCTGCGCTTCCAAATGGTGGATGACAAGTCGGTGGTGTCACAAATTCGAGAGTTACAAATGCTTGCTCATGAGTTCCGGTCTGAAGGCATACGAATTGATGACAATCTCGAAGTTGTAGCCATTATTGACAAGCTGCCGCCTTCATGGAAGGAGTTCCAAAAGACGATGCGTCACAAGCAAAAGGAGATCACCATGGAAACTCTTTTAACTCGTATTCGAGTTGAAGAGGAGGCAAGGAATCAAGATGCTCGAACAACAAATGGAGGCAACACATCCAAGGTACACTTTGTTGCCACTAATGATAGCTTTCCCAAAAATAATAATTTTAAATATAAT